TAGATTAGGAATTCTGAAAGACCAACAGGGAAGAATACTATCTGACCAAGAGAAAATAGAGAGAAGGTGAAAATAGTATACAGAAGACCTATACAAAAGAGATGAAAGGATGACAGACTATTTTAAAGTGAAGAACCTGAAGTTTTAGAAAGTGAAGTGAAAACTGCTCTGAAAGCACTAGGAAGAAATAAATAATCAGAGTTATCTGCTGATAGAATAAAACTATTTCAACCACAGAGGCTGAATCTGTCAAAATCCTAAGAAGTACAGGATATGCCAACAAATATGCAAACCAAAACAATGGCCCACAGACTGGCAACATTCAATATATATTCCAATCCCCAAGTATAGAGATGTAAAGGAGTTCAGTAACTATTGCTTTAATTTCTCACGCAAGCAAAATGGTGGAAGAAATATAAATTATTTAAAATACACAGATTACACCACTTTATGACAGATTGTTATTATCCCAACATATACGTCTGGCTAGAACAATGAAGAGGGCCTTAAAGCATTTTGGCCCTCATAGATCTTGAAAACCCATGGAGAAGACCTCCTTTTTGGAAACCATCTCAGCAAAGCAGAGAGGTTCAGTTGCTTGAACTTTTTGAGCTAGTTTGCATGAATGTGACTGGGGAAAATGTGAGTATGATTTCTCACCGGATTTCAGGCAAGCAAAGACAGGCCTTCTAATATCTGCCCTGCTTAAAAAACAATGACATCCCCACCATCTAAAATCCCTAAACTGCCCAATTCACACCCACCTAGGATTACGAAAGGGCACGCATGATATAGAGGGGGGGGCTGGCGGAGCTACGGGAAAGCACTCCTCTGAGTCCTGCTGCTGCTGCTGCTGCTGCTGCTCTTGTTTCCTTGCTGTGAACTCCCTGTCCAGGGGTGGGGGAAGAGGAAAACTTGTTTAACTCTTTCCCTTCTTTGGTTGGAGGTGCTGGAAATGGGAAAGCAATCAGGCTCTTATCTTTGGCACAATGTATTTTATCTCACACTGCAATGATCCTTGCTTTTACATGGGAGACATTTGTCCTTCTGTAAGAGGGAACCAGAGACAATTTCAGAGTGTTCCAAGGTTTCCCCCTTTGCTGATGACCCCTTTACCCATCCCCTACCCTGCCGTTCATCGCCCTGCCCGCCCACCGAGGTGAATCTCCACCACTTCCTTATTTTAACTTTCTTCCCAAGGAGTCAGTGCTGCATCACATGCGGTACAAGTTTCAAAGGGCACCTCCAATGGATCTAGAATTGTGACATAGAATAATAGAATCATCATAGGGTTGGAAGGGGCCCTGGAGGTCTTCTAGTCCAACCCCCTGACTAAGGCAGGAGACCTCATACCATCCGGGACAGATGGCTTTCCAATCTTTTCTTGAAAACCTCCAGCAATGGGCCACCCACAACGTTGGGAGGCAAGCTGTTCCACTGCTCAGTGGTTCTCACTGTCAAGAAATTCCTCCTCATCCCTTTTAATGTCACCACCCACTGCATATGTCGCAGGATCATCATCACAGAGGATGCCAACCTCAGCTCCATTTGGGAGTAGGTGAACCAACCATGTAGACTGCAGAACGGGATAACCAAGAGCAATCTCATCAAACTGCAGCCCTAGCACTGTTCCAGAAAGGAGCAGAACAGTTTGCAAAAGGTGTGGGGTGCACTGATATTACTGAAAACACATGTGGTCCACAGAAAATAGAGCGAACCAAATAATGCCAAAAGCAACCCAAATAATGAGCTATATGCCCAATCGCATAGATGCTCAATTGGATTGAGATCTGGGGAATTTGAGGCAATGCCTTGCTCTCTGTCATGTTCCTCAAACCATTCTTGAACAATTTTTTTGCAGTGTGGCAAGGGGCATGCATTATCCTGCTGAAAGAGGCTGCTACCATCAGGGAACAATGTTGCCATGAAGAGGAGTACATGGTCTGCAACAATCTCTAGGTAGATGTTACATGTCAAAGTAGCATCCACATCAGGGCACAGGGGAAGGCTGAGCCAGCTCCCTTGAAAAAGAGCTGGCATCCAACAGGGGCCGAACCACAGTTCCACTGCCTCTCACCCAGTGGGCTGTGGCCGGCAGGTGGTCTCTGGTTCCCTCTGTAAGCAGGCACACTGTAAGCAGGCACAATAAATAAATAAATAAATAAATAAATAAATAAACATTGCCCGGAGCATAGCACTGCCTCCACCGGCCTGCCTTCCTCCCATAGTGCCTGCTGCTGCCATCTCTTCCCCAGGTAAATGACACACATGCACTAGGCTATCGTCCTGGTCTCAAAAGAAAATATGACCCATCAGACCAGGCAACCTTCTTCTATTGCTCCATGGTCCATGTCTGTCGCTCTCGCCTCCATTGTAAGCATTTCCAGTGGTGCTCTCTGACCGGTCTGCAGCTACACAACCCCATATGCAGCAATTTGAGCTACAGTAGCTCTTTTGTGTGATCAGACCAGATGGGGTAACATTTGATCCCAGTGTGCATCAATGAGCCTTGAGCACCTGCCACCCTGGCCCTGGTTCACCGGTTGTCCTTCTTTGAGCCCCCACTGCACATCTACAGCTGAATGAGCTTTTAATACCAGACGGGAGGAATAGGAAATGATGGGGTTAAATTCTAGATCTTCTTATTGGAGGGAAAGAACTCCACCTTCAGACCCAACTTGGACTTCACAGTTTCCTGTTCAGTTCTGCTGACTTTCCCCCCAGTAAACAATACAAACTCTAGACCTGCCAAAAGTGAGTAGATTCTCCTTTCTTTAAGAGCGAGGCACTTCAATACATTGACTGTCAACGTACTTATTCTGATAATCAGTCAGATTTCTCCAATGTTTGCTCTGTAATATAAGGCACGCTGCCCTTCACCACTCTGTAGCAACAATAATAAGGAGCTGATGGAGTTTAAATGAGGGCCTGCCTGTTAAAGACTGTGATTTGTAAACAGGCTCTTATTTAAACCCCAGCAGCTCCTTATTATTGTTGCTACAGAGTGGTGAAGGGCAGCGCTCTGTGCTCAGTGGGGCCAATCCCTCCATAAGGTGTGCCTTATATTACAGAGCAAACATTGGAGAAATTTGACTGATTATCAGAATAAGTACATTGAGGTCCCAACTATGGTGGTGGGTTTGCTCTGTAATATAAGGCACACCTTATGGAGGGATTGGCCCCACTGAGCACAGAGCGCTGCCCTTCACCACTCTGTAGCAACAATAATAAGGAGCTGCTGGGGTTTAAATAAGAGCCTGTTTACAAATCACAGTCTTTAACAGGCAGGCCCTCATTTAAACTCCATCAGCTCCTTATTATTGTTGCTACAGAGTGGTGAAGGGCAGCGCTCTGTGCTCAGTGGGGCCAATCCCTCCATAAGGTGTGCCTTATATTACAGAGCAAATATTGGAGAAATCTGACTGATTATCAGAATAAGTACGTTGAGGTCCCGACTACAGTCTGGAGGTGGGGAATACAGTTGATTTGTATTTTGGTTTATGTATCTTATGTTTCTGTTTATGTTGTAGTTTAAGAAAAAAACAAGCAAACTAAAGCACATTTCCCTGGACTGAAATGGAAAGATAATCCAACAAGAGAATGAAGGATTAGAATCTTGATATTGTACAGAGCTGAGTGTTTTTCTATATACTGTATAAGCAATTCCTTTTTTTAAAAAAAAAAGTGATCTTGATTTTATCAAACCAGGAAAGCAAACGTTTGACAGCATGGCTGGGAAACCGAAGCTCCACTACTTCAATGGACGAGGCCGAATGGAACCCGTAAGGTGGCTGTTGGCTGCAGCTGGAGTTGAGGTTTGTCTCCAGAATTGCTTTAATAGATCCAAGGCCACTTCCAGACTGGGCAAAAACTATGCATGAAGGAAAAGGGGTGTTATAGAGATTACACAACCATACTGTGTTGTTTCAGGCTGTGCCCCCTGCAGCAAGAGTGGGAAGAAACTGTTACCATGATGAAGGTGTTGGAAAGGAAGCAAAGGGCTCAAACACACATGCAAAAGAGAACCCCAGTTACATTGTATATTGATTATAGATAAATTTCTGTTCATTTCTTTCCTCCACATCACTAGCCTGGTTGTCTTAAAATGTACCAGTCCTGTATTACTTCAATCCTTTTTGTTTCCGAGTGTGTGAACATTGCTGTTGATTTATTACTTTGCGACTGGGTTTGGGGTACCATAGCTGCTGCACATGTACCCCCTACCTTTTTGAATTTGTTTTTTATGCTCAGCGATTGATCGCTTACTCTCTGTGGAAAGTTCTTGCAGCACCAACTGTGTGGGGGCATTCGTGCAAGCCCTGACATTCAAACAAGGCAAAGAGTCTGAGGAAGACAGGCATCTGTTATTCCAAGCAGAATGAAATAAGAGCAAACTAGGGGAGGGAAAAAGCAGCAAGCTGAGCGATTTTCTATGATTTTCTATTCGGAGGTTCAGAGCGAGTGGGAGTGGAGGGTTAAAAGAGAGATCTTGGCTTTGGGTTCTCCTCTTTTGCAAAAGGATCAGAGTGACCTCCCCCTCCTCTGGCTGCTTCTCGGGGGGGGGGGCCTCCCAGCCTTGCCTTGGTGGTGAGAAAGAGGAGGAGGAGGAGGAGGAAGCCTGGATGGTGGCTGCCTGAACAAGGAGAGAACAGGGAGAGAGGGGTCTCCGGTGTGGGCTGGCTGGCTGGTTGACTTTCCATGCAAGGCTTTGTCCCCTTTGCACCTAACTGAACTAAAAAGGAACCATACCTCAAGGCAGGAATTAAAACTGTAGTTCCACCGGTCTTGCTGCTGTTTTGTCATTGACTACACCAGGAAGAGCCCTGCATTATCTTATCAAACATCAGAACATTTGGAAACTGGAAAAACACTTGGCCGTTTGGGAGTGTGCAGTTACTTCATGAGACCCTTTTGTGCCATTTTGTTTCATAGTTTGATGAACAATTTATTCAATCAAAAGCAGACCTGCAAAAATTACAGGAGGGTGAGTAGGCCACCAGAATGTTTGGTAGAGTCCATTTTGAGGATATATTCTGTAGGATTTGAAAACATTTTTATTTATAAAAATGTATAGTGATAGCTTCTACAAGTTACAACACAATCCTCAAATCGTGATTCTGCTCCTATTAAAATTAATGGTGTAATTTCCATTGATGTCAGTGGAATCCAGTTATATTCTGTATGAACTCTTTGCACAGTTGTTTATGAAAATTAGATGGGATACATTATGAAGTTGAACATGGCTTCACTCAGGATGAGTCTGGTATTTCTTGGAGCAAAGGGGGATAAATTGCCAGCTTTCCAGTTAGAACTCAGCAAGCACATTTCCCCCCAAAATTTCCACATCTGTGCAATCACCTTATAAAGAAACTCCAGGTTTGTCACTCAATAACCTAACACAGAAATGAATGCTAATTTGTATCTTGTGGAGTTGTGAAACTTTGTGGTGGGAAAATTAAACATTCTGCACTGAGTAATCTCTGTGATATGTGCCGTGTTTTAGGTAGGGATTGGTGTGAATGCACGGAGATTGGCAGACATTTCATTCATGCTGTTAACCTGCTTTAAATTGTGCCCTTAAAAAGGGAAGGCAAATTTCTCAGATATATGCAGGATCATGAAACGACACTCAGGGCACGACCTTTAGCTGCAGAACTGATGTCACTTAAATACTTCACTAATATTTTTTCCTTGTCAATTCCATCTATTTTTATTTTATTTTAATTATTTATTATTTGATTTCTACCCTGCCCCTCTAGACAGAGTCTACACATTTTACTAATTTTTCTAGAGAGGGTGAGTTGCCGGTTTGAGAAAGAAAGCCAAGACAATATCATTCTCTCAAAAAGATATTGTACAAAACGTTTAACAGACACAACCTTCATGCTTAGCATGGAGGAAAAGGGGTGGCGCATCATCCATCTGTTGTTTAGCACATGCTGTTCTTGTGGCCCGTAGTCCCAGTAAAGGGAAGAAGCCTCATGCCATGACGAGATAGAAGCCCTTGGGAAGTATATCCGGTGGCAGCCCAAAATGCTGTGATTAGAGGTGCTGGATGACAGGCAGAGCCTGGGAACGGCTCAGGGCGGATGGGTCCCTGGACAGGCATCAGCAGGCCTGATCGCAGTGGGTCCTGGGAAAAGAAGCTTTCCCCTTGGTTTGCTTCTTGGATGCTCAAGGAACTCCACACAATATAAATAGTTTGAGTTTCTTACAAGGCACAATTTAGGTGATTATGCCTTCAAAGCCCCTATCATAGCAGTCACTGAGGAATTTAAATAAATTTATTTTTTCATCTGGTTTCAGAAAATGGTTCCTAATCCAGGCATTCTAATAATTCCTTCCTTTTTTAATGTCTCTCTCCAATTTTTGTTCTTTTACAAGATGGTAGCCTCCTGTTCCAGCAAGTGCCCATGGTAGAAATGGACGGGATGAAGTTGGTGCAGACCCGAGCCATTCTCAACTACATTGCGGCAAAATACAACCTCTATGGGAAGGACATCAAGGAGAGAGCCTTGTACTGTAACCCTTCTGTATTTGGTTACTAGATGGGCTAGTTTTGCTTCCTGTGGATGACAGGAGAAAGAAATCTCCAGTTTGTCTTGTGATCTCCTGACAAACTAGGAATTCCATGTGTTTCAACTGACATCCATCGTCAGCTAGGACAAAAAAGGTGCCTGGAGTAGCAATATTAATTCACTTGACCTCTTAGTCATAACAGGGTTTATATTAACTGGTTCCTTTGGAGTCAGTGCTGCTTTTCAAGAGGGTAAGGTATAGCCCCTGGGCAGGAAACCTCTGGCTCTCCTGATGTTGTTAGACCACAGCTGCCACCAGCCTGAGCCGTTATAAGGGGTGATTGGAGGGCCACATGTTGTCCACCACTGCTCTGGCCTTCTATGTAGCCCCAACGAAATAAGAGTTCAGTGCTCCCTTCCCAAAATTGCCCTCAATTTTACATGTATAAACATGTTTTTTACATGTCTCATTTTACATGTATAAACATGTTTTTAAATGTAGATTGTTTTAAAAGAGTGTTTTCTCAATCAAAACATTAGCATTAACTAAGGCTGCAATCCTACATACAATTCCTTGATACCCACTGAATTCTGGATCACATGTTGAGGGTTTTCATTTTCAATATGTTCCTAAAAGCTGGGTCTTTAAACATTCTGGGAAAAGAAAACACAACTGGATTAAACACAACTGGATTAAAAAGTGCAGCAATATTTTTTAAAAACCAATCTTTTAAAAAGTAGCATTTGCTAATTATAAGTCCCTTCTTCAGCAAGCCATCAAGTGCCGAAAACGCATCTGAGTCAAAATAAAAACCACTCAGTGGGAGGATAACAGGGAGTTATGGCAACCTAACCACTCACCGTATCCTCTGTTCTAGTACTGGACAAGGGGATCCTTTGCTGCTGAAGTTTCCCAGAACAGCTGGCAATCGCTTCAGCCTAAAGTGGCATAAATTAAAGCAACAGGATTTCAGCCATAAAATCCTATCCTAAATAAATTGTGCACCTAATTTCCATTATGCAGTCCTGACCAGCTGTGAGATAAGGAGAAGTGGCCACTGATGATTTATCATATACAACTGTTACTAGAAATATTTTATATGTAATTCAGTGTATATGAAGTGCTTTGAACACAGGACTTGCTCAGTATTGGCACATACTATTATTGTATCATATCACACTGTTACAATATTCTGTAATGCGTTCAATTGCTTCTCTGTTCTGTGCCGTCAAGTCAGAACTGACATATAAAACTAATAGGGTTTTCAAGATAAGTGAGATATTTAAGGAGTAGTATTATCAGTTCCACTTCCCTATTGAATTATCATGGCTGAGTGGGGATTTGAACCCTGATCTTCAGAGTTCTAGTCCGTCACTCTATCCACACCATACTGGGAATTTGTAATTAGATTAGTATAATTGAGAAGAAGGAAGGCTTCCACTAGGAAAACGTGAGGTTTATTTATCTGAATTCCAAGACTTTCAAAATTGGTTGTCCAGAGTCATGAGACCATTCTCTTTACAGAATTGATATGTATTTTGAGGGTGCTATGGATCTGAGTGAAATGATTATGTTGCTGATCGTGAAGCCAGCTGATGTTAAGCAGAAGGAAACAACAACGGTCCTTGAAAAGGCAAACAACAGATATTTCCCAGTCTTTGAAAAGGTACAAGGCAGTAAAGCTACAACTATATGTTATTAAAGGAAGAGTTCCTGTGAGCTCGGCTACGTTTGATAGCTACCAACTGTTGCTAAAATGTCTGAGCTGATCAGAATTCAGTGTAAAAAGGACAGGAATAATTACAGTTAAATAAAGAACCACATTAAAGGTTTAAGAAAACTGAGATGAGAAGTGCAAAGGTTTAAACAAGTCTGAAATGAAGTTGTCTTGGAAGTGGAACACAATCAGATGGCTGAGCTATAGGGTTGGTTTTCTCTTTTGCACAAAATTGGCAGTGGTTGTTCAAACCTAATGCTATTCTCATCTAATGATGTACAGTGGTGCCTCGCAAGATGAATATAATTCGTTCCACGGTTAATGTTGATTTGCGAAAAATGCGTTTTCCCATAGGAATGCATTGAAATCTAATTAATGCGTTCCTATGGCCAAAGAAGTCAGAACAAAGTCAAATTTGGTTTACAAAGGGTTTATTAAGAGCTCTTTAAAGCTGTACATATTGTGCAGATTATTTAAAATTTTTCAATAAAAAAACTTTAACTTTTTAAACATCATAGAAAAACATTTAAAAATCAGCAAACATGAGGCAGGAACAAAAAACGGAAAACATTCTTCTTGCGAAGCACGGCCATAGGAACATTTGTCTTGTGAGTCATCAACCCCATTGCCAAAACCATTTGTCTTGCGAGTTTTTTGTCCTGTGAGGCATTTATCTTGCAAGGCACCACTGTAGTATAGTGCTTTCAGAAGGTATCAAAATATAGTTCTTTTTAATATTTATTTTAAGAACAATAAGCCTCTTAAAACATTTCCTCTTCTGTAGGTCCTGAAAAATCACGGACAAGATTTCCTTGTGGGAAATCAGCTCAGCAAAGCAGATGTCAAGTTGCTTGAAACCATTTTAGAGGTAGAAGAGTTGAAGGCTGATGCTCTCTCCAGCTTCCCTCTTTTAAAGGTAAGGAGGCAATTCTTGGCCAGTTGTTGACTGTAAAAAAGCAGCACAGTGGTAAAGCTTAGTGGATCCTGCAGGTTCACAGTTGCTCGGATGCAACTTTCAAACTCAGCAGGGACAGAACAACCAGGTAGCTGAAAGCAGTCACATCCAGCAGAGCGAGGGGTGGGGAGATTTTGGTCCTCCGAATATTTTGGATTAACTCCCACGAATCCCTTAACACTGGCTCTCATAGGTGAGACTGGTGGGAGCTAGACTCCAAAATAGCAATCACCGAGTTGCTAAATAAATCAGTAAATAATGCAAAATAAACAAGTCTGTGAAAATCTTGGGTCCTTAAAAAAAGACACACAAGCCAACAATTTACATATAAATTTTAGATGTGGCATGTAATTATTTTAATAAATATATTGTATTTACGTACAATTGGAGGAGGATTGCTGTTTATGCATCTTTCCTGCTTTTGTGGAAGGTTGAGGGCTGGCAGACTTAACACCCTTGAACAAGATAATCTCCTAAACCAGGAGGGAGGAAGCTGAGTCCAAATTCGTGCTCCCAGTAGCCTCCGTCGATCACATGCAGTCCCAAAATGGCTGTTTTTGACCATTTTTTTAAAAAGGAAGAAAAGAGCAAACAGGAAGTGCAGCAATGGTTTTCATTGGGGCAAGGGTGATGGCCATGCCATAAAGGAAAAACACTGCTGCAGACGTTGAGGGCACATCTACTCTGGCCCTTTTGGTAAAGGCTGATATGGCCTAAATAGGGTCATTGGAGGTGGGGGGCAGAATGATATGCCACATACTGCCCATGAACTGCACTCTGCCCACCCCTCTTCTAAATCCATTATGTCCATTAAGTCTGGATATCACACTATGGCCTTTGCGTGTTGACCTAAGGGTCTATTGGGCAATGGCTAAAGGGTGTATGAGGTCAGATTCATGGACAAACCATTTGTGAATCAGCTGTAGATACGGGAAACGTACTTGCAATGGAGTTCTTCAAAGGAATATAATTTAAATCATTGGAACTTAGGTACATACGTATATTCCCCACCTCCCTGATCAATCAGTGGTGATATTCTTACGTTGCTCATGAAACAGATAAATTTTCAGGCAGTGCCAAGTATTTTGGCTATGGAATTGCAGTTTTGTGCATGACAATATTTGTTTATCTCTCATTAGGCCTTTAAAGAAAGAATTAGCAACATTCCTACAATAAAGAAATTTCTTCAGCCTGGAAGTCCAAGAAAACCACGAACCGATGAGAAAGTGCTAGCCGAAGCACTGAAGATTTTTTACTGATTTGTTTTCTACTGAATTGACACTGTTGTAGCAACAAGTAAAATGAGCCAATTTATTTCAGATCATTGGAAAGGACAATAATCACCTACAAACCGAGGCTGCACGACACTGGCAAATGGAATTGGGGTGATTTGGCTTTGCTGCTGCTCGATTCGCAGCCTAATTTTCTTCTTCTATGCAGATTAGTTGATCACACAAAGACTGAATTGTGCCCACACTGGCCTTTCAGTTCAATGCAGTCTGATACACAACACAGCCTCCAGCCCCACTTCCTCTGATCTCACACTCTGTCAATCCTCACTTTTCATTTTATAGTAAAGCCAGTGGGCTGTTTAAAATGTTTCGTGATGTCATTAGAGAAAAGGGAGAATTTTCCAAAGTTCCCCATAACTAACAAGCATATGTGTACACACTGTGGAAACACAGTCACCTGCTGTAGTCAGTCAGTGCCGTTTCTATTTCGTATTGAACCTGAAGCAAAAAGGGCAGTTTGTATCATGTGATCAGTTTTAAAAAGCCCCAATCAATACTCTTTGCTAGTGTGGTTGCAGCCTAAATCCACTTGAAGAGAATGTGAAGTTGAATAAATAACACATGATTAAGGGGAAATTGTGGCCACACAGTATATCACATGGCTGATATGAAATTAAATACATCATCTGTAACTCATCTCAGTATTTATTCTGCCCAATTTGTAACATGTCTGATTTGCCATGACTACATTCATGAACTATTTCCTGATGATAGCTTGCATGAACGTGATAAAAAAAGAAGAAATGAAAAACCAGTATGATTCCCCCGATGAATGAGAGGTAAGAGATTAATTGTATTAATACATACCCTGCCAGAAAATAATGGGACATTCCCCCAGGACTGGATCCTTAGACAGCCCAACTCATACAGTAGCTACTGAGGATTAAGGAAGGACACATAGTGTGACTACAATCAAATGACATGGGATTTGCTCTGCTTATAAAACAGGTGAATTCAAAGTATTTTTAAATGACTACATGATGCAAAGGCTGATTTGAATTGGTCCAGCCCTTTTTTTGCTCCAAAAGAGGCTTTCCTTCTCTGCTGCTGAGGGGCTTTTTCTTTTTCAAGCCAGAATGAATTGAATTAGCTTTTACCTATGTGATCAGTTGTGATATGTTCTTGTAGAGACAGGGGATATGTCTGTAGGTGTTATTTCAGTGATACAGGCATTTTGGGCATGATGTTCAGGATCGGGGTAGGAGGAACATGCAAAAGCAAAGCATCGTAATTATGGTTCACTGCCAGACTACTACATTTCTGAAAAGTTTTTCTATAGAAAAATAACATGGAAAGCTGCTTTACAGTTTCAGAATATAGATCATCAGAAGTTTGAACAGTAATATCCAAAACTCAGAATGATTCCATATGGGATCATTACATCCCATTATCACCCATCTGTTACTCCTCACAGTTTTAAAATACTGTATAACTATCATATTTTAAAGAATAAAAGCTATATTAAGATTAAAAAACAAGATAAAAACAAATTTAAAATGTTTAAATATCTGTAAGTTACATTCTCATGACAACTTCCTGCTTAAACGTGGCATTTGCCTAATGACAGAAGGGGCAATGCATTTCAAATCCTGGGAGAAGCCACTGAGAAGGCCCCAAAGGGGTACAGAAACAACTTATAACTCTAGGTTGCATCTGTGGGTCAAGAGGATTAAAATAAAACAGCATTATGTATACCATACTTATGATAATAAATATAAAAATAATTGCAACTAAAAATAACACCCAGAAAATATTTTGCAACCCCTTTGGGGTTCTCACTCTCCCAACACTCAATTGAAGTGGATGTCCCCTGGTTCTGGTATTGTGTGAGGGGGAAAAGGGGTTCCCTCTAACCACTTTATCCATCCCCTGCATAATTTTATACGTCTCAGTCATGTCTCCCCTCAGGTGCCTTTTCTGTAGATTAAAGAGCCCCAAACGCTGTAGCCTTTCCTCATCAGGGAAGTGCCTCAGCCCAGTCATCATTTTAGTCACTCTCTTCTGCACCTTTCCCACTTCCACTATGTTGTTTTTGAGATGCAGCAACCAGAACTGTATGCAATACTCCAGGCGTGGCCCTACCAGCATTTTGTACAATTGCATTATAATGTTGGCTGTTTTATTTTCAATTCCCTTTTTCATGATCCCTAGCATGGAATTGGCCTTCTTCACTGCAGCCGTACACTGGGTTGACACTTTCATTGAGCTGTCCACCAGCACACCAAGATCTCTTTTCTGATCCATCACAGACAGCTCAGTCAGAACCCATCAGCTGATAAATAAAATTTTGATTTTTTTTACCCCAATATGCATTACATTACATTTTCTCATATTGAAACACATTTGCCATTTTGCCACCCATTCTCCCAGTTTGGAGAGATCCTTCTGGAGTTCTTCACAATCCCTTCTGGTCTTCACCACTTAGAAAATCTTCGTGTCATCTGCAAACCTGGCCACCTCACTGCTTATCCCTGTCTCCAGGTCATTTATGAACAGGTTGAAAAGCACCAGTCCCAGGACAGATCCCTGGGGCACACCGCGCTTCACCTCTCTCCATTGTGAAAATTGCCCATTGACACCTACTCTCTGTTTCCTGCTTCTCAACCAATTCTCAGTCCATAAGAGGATCTGCCGTATTTATTTGTTTGTTTGTTTGTTTGTTTCCTGCCTATCTGGTTTTGCAACCACTCTAGGCGGCTTACAAACACATGGAACAACAAATAAATATAACAAAAAAGAAATTATTTCATCAAATATCCAGTTCTTCAAGATGTAGAAGAGAAAATTAAAAATAAACCAAAAAAGAAAAGAGAAGAGGAAAGGATCAAATATGAAAACTGGAGGGCAGGCCTGCCTGAACATCCATGTTTTTAATTGGTTTATAAAAATATCCAGCGAAGGGGCCACATGAATCTCCGGAGGCAGATTGTTCCAGAGGTGAGGAGCCACTGCCGAGAAGGCCTGACTGGAGTTTTCTCAGCAGCCTTTGGTGAGGGACCAGGTCAAGCACCTTCTGAAAATCCAGATAGACGACATCCACTGGTTCGCCTGCATCGACATGCCTGTTGACCTTTTCAAATAATTCTAAAAAGCTTGTGAGGCAAAACTTGCCCTTACATAAGCCATGTTGATTTTCCCTCAGCAAGGCTTGCTCTTCTATGTGTTTTAAGATTTTATCTTGGATGAGGATTTCCACCACCTTCCCTGGAACAGACGTTAAGCTAACCGACCTGTAGTTTCCTGGGTCCCTCCTCCTTCCTTTTTTAAAGATTGGCATGATGAGCTTTAGAGAGATGTATTTTTGCCCAATAAAAACAGTGAATGAATTTGACAGATATGCTGTTTTGGAGAATACCACATTGCTGTACAGATACTGAGATGACATACATGAGTTGCTAGAAGGAAACCACTCATATCCAGGATCCAAATTGGGTAGATAATGCCTAAGTTCTTTCTTAGCCTCTGACAGGCTCCATTGTAGGGCAGGGCCGGGCCAAGGAGGGCTGTTGACGATGGCAGGAGGGGGGAAGGGAGGCTTCTCTCATGGGGAAAGGATGATGGGAGGGGGAAGGTGGGCTTGTGGTTCACAAACGAGCCACTTCATTTCCTGGTGGGGGCTCCTTAGTGTATTTTATTAGTCATAGGTCAGACAGCCCAGTCATGCTTAGCCCTAGGCCAATAGCAAGTTTCTCTGAAAACACAGGTGTGCTGCTTGGGGGTGTTCCTGGGTTCATCTCTGAGCCTGGATGCCCAGGAGGCTTTTTTCTTGGTCCCTCCTCCTTTGCAAGTGCGCTTGGTGGGGAAGGAGGAGAGGGACTTCTCTGTCGCTGCTCCCAGACTCTGGAACTCTGGAACATGGGAAGCTAGGCTGGCCCCATCTTTGTTGTCCTTTGTCAAGCAGGCAAATACTGTACCTTTCTCTTCAGCTAAGCTTTTCCTTAAAGACTGGTGGTATGTGAGGGCTTTTTTTAATGGATTGTTGTGTCCTGTTGTTTTAAATGTGTTCTAAGAGTGATTTTAGTTACCATTTTAATATATTGTTTAATTTTCTTTTAATATTTGTATACTTACTGTTTTAGCTTTAAATACTGTACTGTTTTAGTGATGTAAGCCGCCTTGGGTCCACTTGGGCAGAAAGGCGGCACTGAATTATTTTAAACAAACAGTTCTGCACTCTCTTTATTGTCAAGATTGAAACTGCCAGAAATTAGTGGTACTAAAGTTTGCAGGTCACACTTCTAAAAAGCAACTTTCTTTCTTTCTTTCTTTCTTTCTTTCTTTCTTTCTTTCTTTCTTTCTTTCTTTCTTTCTTTCTTTCTTTCTTTCTTTCTTTCTTTCTTTCCCCAATGTTGGCAGCTCCATTGCAACACAGCGCAGTAAACATCCTTAAAAAATTCTTCTCTGGCGATCCTTTGCTGACAACCTGCATTGTAGGAAGCAGGGAAGCCAAGGCAACCCTTATAAGCTCTTCTGCACACCCCAGCCAATACCAGTCTTGAGGTTCCCGCCTCCCCCTCCCCCCCACAACCAGCCCTTCTGTTGGATTCATTTAATTTAATTTCTTTCGTTTTGGAGCACACACATTCCTCCCCATGCTTGGCTAAGCCCAGCTTGTTGCCTCCTTCCTGCCCTTTCTGGGCATTTCCACTCCAAGCATCATGGGGTGAGAAAAGAAGCTGAGGGGGACCGCTTTCCCCTGCCTTGGGACAGCCGCAGCACTTCTGGAAGGAACCCCTGACTGCTTTATCCAGACAAAATAATTCTATATGCTTTACACAGGAAACATTCTTAAAGTTCTAACCAAGAACAAGTGAATGTCATTTCAGCTGCTAGTGCACACAAGGGGGGAATGCCATTCATACTCTGTGGGTTTTTATAAGCTGGCCTTAAACTCATACATTTCAACAGGATTTTCCACAGACTTGATGGTTTTCCCTTCCGTTCAGGATCAGGTGCACAGTTTGGGCCTGGTTATGGATTCAGTGCCGACCATGGAAAAACAGGTCTCCGTTTTGACAGCTGCTGCTTTTTCCCCACTTTGGCTTATTACCTATCTGTGCCCCCATGGGATTGCAACAGGAGGTCCCTAAGAACACTGGGGTTTCAAAATTGACTACTGTAATGCACTCTGTGTGTGGCTTCCTTTAAGGCTGACACTGAAGCTTCAAGAGGTCCAAAATATGGCAGCCAGACTAATTGCTGGTGTGAAGAAATGTGACTGTATCGCCCAAATTCTGGTTTGCCTGCTTGGCTTACTGGTTCACTTCCATGCCAGATCCAATGTTTTGGTCCTAAATGGGTTGAGACCTCATTAATTCTCCGAACAGTTCCTGCCAAGTTTGCTTGCCCATCTGACCAACTCCTCACAGACCTCTTGCCTATCGACATCTCAAGAGGTCAGGAAAATGTCAACTAGAAGCTGGGCCTTCTCAGCTGTGGCGCCTTCTCTGTACAATGCACTGCCACGGGAGCTACACCAGTTGCCCTCCCTCCATGCCTTTAAAAAGCAGCTTAAGCAGGGCTTTTTCAAGAAGCTTTGGGGGAAATTGTCCCCGAATGATTGAAATAGAGGAGAAAGAAGGAGGGACATACAGTATGCCGATCAACAAATTTTTTTGCTGCCTGTCACGGATATG